TTTTTTTTTGCATGAACTCTACCTTGTGTCAGACTGGGCATGGAGGCTGGCGTTGCTTCACCCAAAGCTGCTTCTCATTGTGCTAAGTGTTAGCGTTGTCCAAGAGGGTGAGAGCAGCACCTCTTTGCTCTCATTTGTAGTAATCGGAGCCATACACGTCTAATGAGCTGATGTTTTCTGCCAAGGAGCTATTAAACCGCAGTGTGAGCTTACCACATTAAAACATTTCTTACTCAGGCATAGAAATGTGCAAATGATGGTTCATGTTAGTGATTACAGTAGCTGCAAAACACAAAACGCTGCATGTGTGTAGTCATGTTTGTTTTATCATGTTTGTCAGGATGACACACCTACACTCTTCCATAGAGCAGTCATTTGCAGTGTTGCTACAGAAAGATACATCATTAAACACGTAAAGGGGCATGTTGGGTGACATATGTCACATCCTGTTATTGCATTTGAGTCATGAATTAAGCACTCGCAAATGCATTGTGCAATGGCTTTGGTGGAAGCCAGTTCTTCTCGCATATTGCCAGTTTCAGTGTTCAGTTATGGAGCCCCCCGCTGTGATCATTACATTCCTTCATTCGTGTGTCAGCAGTGTCCACACTCAGGGCCCCCAGGGAGAGTTATGTACTGTTGGCAAGACGAAATTAAACGCAGACATCTTAAAACACGAACAAGGGGCCGGTGTATGAGGTTGTTCAATCTTCTCAAAATGATATAGTCTGAGAACATGCCTGTGGATGTTTAGATTTCATTGAAGGTTGGTCGTCCCCGGCTGAGACAGATTACTTGCAGCCAGCCTCTTGCTTTTGTTGCGAATGAGAGTGCAGCGTGGAGAGGGCAGAGTGACACGGTGCGGCACACACAACCCACAGTTTCCTTCTGGTATGAACTCTCAAGGTTCTTTTAATATATCTGAGGTATTTCTAATCTTTTATCTGTTGTGTGCCCTTCAAGTGCACTCATAGACTCAATCATCAATTTAATATAGATTTTTCAGGCTAAGAGCAGAGAAATGCAAGGCAGGGATGGTTTTGATCTTTTGAAGTCGGGTCATATGAGGTACTTCTCCATGGTCAGTGTTTTACCTACGGTAGATTGGAGAAGCAGGCTGGAATACTGACACAGGAGCTAAGCAATGTACAGCTGTGGATGGGGGCAGCAGCAAACATATTTTAGCCACCTAAAAAATCAGTTTAAACGTTCATTATGTATAGAAATTTTCACTGCTTTACCTTGATGCAGACAGCAATATCCGACAGGAAACTGAAGCCAGTATATCGCTTTCTTTAAAACCAGACTCCATTGAGAAAAACAGTGATTTAACGGTGCAGAACACAGGAGCTCCTGGTCAACCGCTGCTTTCATCAATTATTTTGTTTGTGTTACTATGCGACTTCGGTGTTTAAACGGGTTAGTTCAGGTTCACCAAAGTCACACAAATAACACAAACTAAAGTACTGATTGAGGCAGCTGCAGACCAGTGTCCCCTGTGTTGCAGAGCCAAAATTACTGTTTTTGTCAATGGAGTCTTGTGATTTTGAAGTGAGTAGCTTCCCTGTTGAAATGGGCCGTCTGATGGGAAAGTAAAGGGTTGAAAATGCCAACAAATCTACAAATTGACAATGGATAAGTACCTCATGCAACCCCACTTCAAAAAAGCTCCACTATCCCTTAAATTGTTGGTCATTTTGTTAAGCAAAGATGCTAAAATCTCACTGTCTCGAGCTTCACAAACAAAGAGTTTTTTCCTGGTTTTCTTTTAATTATTGTAAATATAATATCTTTGGACAAAACAAGCTATTTGAAAATGTCAGTGGACACATTTTATTGACTTAAAATTGAAAGATGAAGAAAAATATTTAAAAGACTGCAATACAAGTCTGCGTCAAATCCTTCTAGAATAGTATCATTTCTTTAGAGTTTGACGAGGAGGCGAGTTGAGATGACTTGGACTGTGCAGATTTTTCTCGTCTGAGTATATTACTTATTTATTTTCTAGTATTAGATGTTTTTTGATGGTTGGTCAGGCAGTGAAGTATCATGCATGTCCTACAGAGTCAGCTGAGATTCATTCATGCAGGCAAAACATTCCAGTCAGAGCGGAGTCAGTAAAGATTAACCATGGCAGCGCTGATCATGCCATTTCTCAGCATGTAGAAACAGTGTTGTTCAGACTTGGTGAAAGTCACTTGTGTATCCATAAATAGATATAATGCCTGTCTTTTTTAATCTCAGAGGGTTTGTGATGCAGACAGTATCAAACACATGTCTTCAGCTTGCACACATACAGCGTGTGCCGTATATCACTAATGGTGGCCTTTAATCCAGTTCTTTCAAACATGTTTTTTCCTGAACGTCTTGTCTATTTTTGCTCTGCCCAAACATATTCCTTCTGGTTGACATGAACGGCATAATTAAGTTGCCTCAGTTAGAACAGTTGAACTGACTGAGCTCAGGGATAGTGTGCAGTTGGTTTCCCATTTCCATTCACTGTGGTCTATTTCTTACATTTCCTCGTTGTCTCCTCCTCAGACTGTTCTGAGCGCCCTCTGTTCCCTGTCTGTGTTCATTCTTCCTCCCACCCTGCCTCTTTTCCTCTGCTTGTGTTTTTTTTGCCACCCCCCATCTCCATCCTTTTCTCCGTCCTCCCCTCGCAGCGCGCACCTGTAAGGTTTCAATAGAACCAAACAATACCAGGAAATGGCTCTGACTTGGACTGTACACAGAAAGGACTTGTTGAGATTTCTCGACTGACGGACCTTGAACATGCCTCATGTCATGATTACTTGTGGTTAGATAGAAACTTCTGCTTTCTGTTTTGTGGAATAAAAGATGAGGTAATGCTTGATCAGTGATTAGTGATCTGCACTCTGCCCTCTTTGAGTGCCAGTTTAATGATCCAGCTTCCTGTTT